AAAAAATTATTAGGTTTAACGTAAATATAAAGAAGACTATTCTTGTAAACTATATAATAACAAACAAAAAAAGTTTCCGATCATTATTAACAGAGATAATGGCTGTTCCGTTCTAAACCTCCGAAGGGGCTGGGAGAAGAGTTCCAGGGGGATTTTCGGGGACTTTTGCAAAAATTATTCTCTGATAGTGGTCTGTCGATGGGTAAAATTCAGCTTTACGTTAATTATTGCCCTTTCAAAACCTTTATTGACTGGATCGTTTTAGGATGTAATGGTTTTACTTGATGTACCAAGTTTTTTTAAAAATATAATTTCCCTTGTCTTTTAACAGTCGGAACCTTTCTTCAGATTCTAGGCTCTTCAATCTAATTTTTAAATAAATTTTACGATTCACCTTTAACTAAAGGCTTCCGCGATGTGATGTGGAAATTTACGGAGGGAGTGTCGGCTTATTTGTCGTCCTCGACATCTGACTACTGTTCAAATTTGAGACGTCTGTCTGCAGATAACTCGAATGCAGATTCAAAATCGGTGTTAATCTAACAAATCAAAGCAAATCTGACGAGTACTTAACACCACAGTATATCCCCGAACTCGGGGCCAGGACGGCTCCCTGTCGGTAGGGTAGGTATACGTGAACCTTTATTAAAAGAAAGGCTTAAAAAATTACAAATTTATGTGTAAATACAAATTCAGAACATTGGTTCACAAAAATAGTTTGAAAAGATGCGGTATCTGACGCTTTGAGGCCGCTGATAACTTTATAGACAATGGTGATTCAAGATGTAAATTTTTGGTTTAATAATTTAAAAAAGCTAATATTTTTAGCAATTATGATTAAAAAAATTCAGCCTCGAACTAATGATGAATGACAACGTGTACACCAAGCAAGGTCTTCCGGGCAAAAAATCTTCCCACTCCGGGAATTGAACACTGGCCTCCTGGGTGAGAGCCAAGTATCTTAACCTCTAGATCATGTGGGATCCTACGAGTGCTGATGTGCAAGCACAGATTAAAGACAATGTGTTCACCAAATGCTCCAAGCAATATGGAAGCGGTAAGGAACAATTGAAAGAAAAGTTTAAAAATTTATTTTCTAAAACTTTTTTAATATGTTATACCAAACACTTCATAAATGCTGTCAATGCCAATCGCTGTTATTTTTAAAGGATGCTTTCAAACTTTATCGACAAGGTCCTCACTTTGTCCGCTTCTGATGTTGGAAGATTAACATGTAGGATTCTTCTGCAGTCGGGAGACTAACCCTGAACAAACAGCATACTTCCAAGAATTAATTTCTCTTAAAAATATTCTATATTATGAGGCGATAATTTATCACCACCAAACTTTTTTTTCCCGCAAGAAGGGATCTGTGCGGTCGGTTGAAGTGGTTGCAAATGGGGCCAATCAGACAAGCGACTCGTTATCGGCACTCTCTCCGCTACGTGACCAGCCTCCGGACTTTTGGCCCGATTATCCCTTGTCTGCCCGCCCTATCGATCACTTAGTCATCGACCTCACTTGTTTGGATAGCAGATGAACAGCTTGCTCCTTCTCCTCCTTCAGTAAAAAATGAAAGAACTGGTCTAAATTTGAATGTTAACAATGAATAGG